GTCATGATGGAACACAACTCCTTTACAATTAACAAGCTCTGGACGTTTCTGGATGATGGATTTGTTCAAACTGTCCAAATGCCGACAGTACACATTCGTATTGATTGTTTGATTCTTTGGTAGGAGCTCGAAAAACACGACACCTTTAAAATCCCACCACACTGAGCATAACCTTCCAATGATGAATGTCTGCTTTCGATGTCATTTGAGGTGAACCATCAAATGGTTGGGACCAAGACCGTTTGCGCACCACATTGATGTAAACAATCCACTTCTCATCACCAGTTATCAGTCGCTTCAAAAAAGGATCATTTTTCTCACATTTAACATATTGTAGATGTTTATACTTGTGACCAATGAACTTCTTTGAGTTCATGCGGAACCCAAATATCGAGCTTGCTTATGTATCCAAGCTTCTTCAGGTGGTCGTGAATGCTTGAGTGATGGATGTTCAATGTTTCTGCAATCTCTCATGTAGTGTAACGTGGCTTTGACTCGATCAATGACTTTATTTTGTTGTAATCAACCTCGGTGGGCCTCCCTGATTGAGGAGCGTCGTTGAGATCAAAATCACCAGCACGGAATTTCGTGAACCATCATTGGCACTGATGTTTTTGTAGAGCATTGTCACTGTAAACTTGATGCAACTTTTCACAAGCTTGATGAGCGTTCTTCCCTTTATGGAAGTAAAGCAGTAAAATATGGCAAAAAATGCACAGTTTGGTCTTCCATCTTCAACTTGTTGTAAAATCTCCAAAACTCAACCAAATCGCTCAATTTTTTTAGAATGAAGCTGGAACTGTCAGCTGTCAAATGACATAGCAATAACATAGCAAATGACTCTAGTACTTCCAAAAATGAACCAGTGCCATCTGACATGCGTCATGACTTTTCCGACAACTCAATAGTTCATAGTGGGTAATAGCCCTCCAGAGATACAGCTTGAAAATTTTCAAACAGATGTTCACATGAGGAAGCGAAGAAAAGAATCAGCACAGTAGGGAATACCAGAAAGGAGAGGTAAAGGTCACTAAAGATAGAAGAATCTAATTTATTGAGCTCATCCAAAAATAGAGTCCTGAGAAAGAATTCAAACCAACAAATCACTGAGTTTCTGCAATCATCAAGGAGCTGTCTATGGACTGTAGGAATGAGATAAACACATTGAAAAGTTAGTCTCTAGAAAATGGGTGCAATAAATGTACATTTTTTGTGTGTCCATTACTCTGTACTCTGGGCTGTTATTTGGAGAATGACATTTCTGATGGATTCCAGTGCAACAATTTTTTTCATCTATGGTGAAAGAAATATTTACATTGTATGCAAATCAGTGCATGAGGAGTGAGGAGACAGTGTAAAATGTTGCATGTTTAGATAAAATAGATTTAAGGAAAGTTTAGTACAAAAGCCACTATACTTTTGGAAGTCATTTGCTAATGCTAACAGCTAAGAAAGTATTTGCACTCATTTTCTAAACCAAGTACATATGTAGCAGTTAGTTGTTAGGGTGGTAGATTAGCACATTTATTTGGTTTAGAGATCAGCTGCAAAGTAGAAAAGTACTAAAAGCTTCATGATAACCAAGTATCAAAACAAAGAACAAATGGGAAATGGCCAAATGCAACCAGAGTCCAACAGTGAAAGCATGTGCTTAATGGGGTAAATGTGTGTTTAACATGGTCCAGTTCCCCACAGCCTGTAAGGTGTTTAGAGTTCTCCCATTGACATTTTTTTCTGAAGTAAAACTCAGTTTCTTATATTGCAGGCTTCAGTGTGAACATCAACTCAGAAACATTTCAAAACCAAATCAATGTCATTACCATCTCTTTATGTGTTATTGCTTTGGTCCCAACTCTAAGGATGGAGACCATTTGGCTGCTGTTGCCACTTAGATTCAAATGAAGTACTATTAAATTTGTTCTTTACTCCTTACATGCAGCACTAGAAAATACACTACGCCCATGGCTGCTTAATTATTTCTACCATCATGTGTTTCTTCTGCCTTTTTTTTTTTTAAAGAGGGTACCGGGGCCGGCCAAGTGGCTCAGTTGGTTAAGAGCTCACTCAAGAGTGTGAGGTCAGCAACAGGGTCGTCGGTTCCATTCACGGTCCAAGCTGAGCTGCCACTGAGCTGCCAACAGGTGGCAGGATGGCTCAGCTGAAATAAATAAATAAATAAATAAATAAATAAATAAATAAATAAATAAATAAAATAAAAGAGGGTACCAATTGTTTGTATTTAATAACAAACTTACTTTGTAGTAAGTGATTAAACTTGTTTTTACTAAGTAATTTAGCAATAACCGAGAGAGAAGGGCCTATGCTACCGCAGCAAAAAGGTATTATAGAACCAAGTCACATTCATGGAGAACTGTAAAATTATGACAGTCCTGAAATGTGCTCCTTTACTGCTTTCTTCCTCTTCTCTTCAACTGCCCTAGAGGCCTTCTGTACTCCAGTGTTTACAAGTGGCCCAGAGAAAAATGGGTTCAACCTTGGCTTCATCAAAAATATCCAGCAGGTGTTTGGAGACAAGAAGAAGTTCTGGTTAATACCTGTTGGGTCCAGGTAGGTAATTATTACCACTGAAAGAAGTGTCTTTAAGTAGCAGATTCAATTTTGATGGTAGGGTGCAGCAGCTATCAGTTGATTGTAAAACTGTTCCCTAAGCTTTTCATTTCTAAGTTAGTAAAGACAAATCTGGAGGTGAAGCTATGATAAAATAGACGTTCTCACGCTTTATGGCAGTGTAAACTGCTACCACACTTTTATAAATGAATTTGGTAATATGTATCAAAAAACCCACAAGAGTCTACATGTCATTGTTCCAGTAATTAAATTTCTGAGAATCTATTATAAAGACAGAAACAAAGTAAGCACAACAATGTTTATTACAGCACTATTTCCAGCCAATAATTAGGAAACACCCTAAACATCCAACAATATGAATATATATAATACAGTCAAAAGTAATGGATGTAAAGACTATGTCACAGTAAGGAGAACTGCTTACTATAGTTTAAGTGAAAAATGTAGAATTCAAAATGGTATGTACACTGTAATTAAAAATATTTACACACATATACAGAAGAAAAACTGGTGAAATATACCCGAAAATACTATAAATGGCAAGGGCCGTAGTCTTAGAAATTATTTTTCTTATTTCCATTTTTCATATTTTGGGCTGAAATGTTTTTATTAGTTTGATGAAGGAAAAAATTACAAAGCAAGAACAAAGGCTTCTTTAGAGGCTGTAGGTCATTCTTAGAACCACACCAGGAATGAAGGGAAAGCAGTGGAGGATGAGCTTGTGTCCTGAGTGATTTCATGAAGCAGCTTGAACTCCTATCAAGTAAAGTAGCTCTGGAGTAGGACTTACTGGTAGCCTTCTTACAGTGCCTTAACATTCGCTCCTCAGAGAGGTATGTATTTGTTTGCTCACTTCTTTGAAGAAACTTTGTTGGTGGTGATTAAGGAAAACATTCTCCTCCTTACACTTATTGCCCTGATGGTTTCTCTGAACCAGTTAGTGTTTCACAAGCTCATTTATTTAACATCTGTGGTATATGCCACTATCCTAGCTATAAGTCACAAGACACAACTGTGTCTGTGAGTAATGGTGTTTAATAACTGTTACCAAAAATGATTTGCAACGCATGCTTACACACGCACACACGCACACATGCACACACACACTATCACTACCGCAAAGGGAGGTCTAAAATGAGTCTTCTTGGAATAAGGATAAAAGCAAAAATCAAAGCCCATTCACTTATATCAGTATACCTACACCCTATGGAGAGAACTATTAACAAGATCTGTCAACTTTCAACTAACCACATTAGTGAACAGGAGAAAAGACATAGGCAATATCAAATGAATAATCCAGAAATCACTCAGATATAAATTTGGAATGAATTCGGATGTGTAGACTCAAATCTTCAAATTGTTACCCACGTTAGCCAGGGACAGAGATTAACCAGGGAGGTGGCCCTAGGTTACCATAGATATCTGTAAAGTGGGCCCCACATGTGAATATTGGCCCCCTAATCTGCACTCTTTGGGAGGCCTCACTCTGGTTCTTCCCCCCAACTCCTAATAACCTTTCTGCCATACAAGCCAAATAGTGGGGCAGTAAAACATTATTCACAACAACATATCTCCACTGTGTTTAATGATTCTGAATCTGCTTATTTTTCTTGAATATTTCGAATCAAAACAATAAGATAATGGGATGCGAATTGGGGTTGTAATCATTAAATGGTATCTATGAAGCTTGCTTTGCACACATAAGGTGTTTTTGTTTGTAAGCAACTCTAACTTGTTTCTCATATGCCCAGTCAACACTGGTGCAGACAAACAAACAAGATCTAGAAACTAAATGATGCTATTGTAAGATCCTTTTCCACTATGGCTTTAGCCAATAAGCTGAATGGTTTAAATCTGGCTAAGAATCCTCTTCCTATTTGTAGTAGAGTTATTACCTTCATAAAAAGTCCATGTCAAGAGTTTGAGCTCTGAGCAACAGCGGTTCGATTCCCGGCCTGAGCTGAGCAGCTGCTGAGCTGCCAACAGGTGGCAGGATGGCTCAGCTTAAAATACAAACAAACAAACAAAAAACAAAAAAACATGTCGGCTGCAAGACCTCACTGCCTTCCTCTTTCCACCAGCCCCGGTGATGGACACTCCTTCCCTATGAGATGTATGAATGAGTCACAGAACCCACTACTAGCAAATCAAGAGCCCTGGGAAGACGATGATGACAACCGAGGTGAGTAGGTACTAAAGAATTCTTTTTTCTTTTTAAAGATTTTTTTTATTGGGGAATTAGGATGGGAACAGTGCTGGGGAATTGGGGGAAGGGGAACAGACAAGTTGCTGTCGTTTTGTTCTTCAGTCTAGTTGTGGAGGATGTTGCTTCACTGGCCCAAGTTGGCACCATCGTTGCGCTCTTCCCAGGCGAGGCAGATCAGTCGCCGGCTTCTGGACGGCTACTCATGCTGGCTGCTGGCCACACACGGTAGCCCATGGCAACCCACTGCAGCAGGGGCTGCAACCTACGCTGTCGCTGGCGACTCACAGCTGCCCAGCTCCAGGTCGAGGTGTTGTTCAGCATCTTAGCTGTGGAGGGCAGTGTCACTGGCCCTCATATATGGGATCCGAACTGGGGCCCTCTGGCGTCTCAAGCCAGTTCTTAAACATTGCACCACTCGGCCGGCCCAGGAATTCTTTATTCCATCCAGCAGGCCAAGCACTAATAAAGATCATGTTAACACAACCAGTATAGTGTAGTCAGAAAATAGTGTCCGGAAAGGTTATATGTCAACCGCATAAGTGCCCTTTGGAAGGAGAAGGTCAAGTATGGCCACATGTGTTTAGCAAATATGGGTGGCTTAGGTAGGGTTAGATGGCAGCTTGGGAGATTCATTACCAGCTTTGTGATACCATGATTTATAACCAAATAAATCAGGAAATATAATGAACAGTGCCATGCATTTTTGCAAACAATTCTTCCAGTTGGTCAGGCATCATCCATTGCTTGAGTTAATTCAATCAGGGGACAACAGCTTACCTTTCTTTACCTTGATTCATTCACATTGGTTACATTTTCTCTAAAATCTCATTCCCTTTTCCTTTTAGAGTGGTTTAAATGCATGAAAAAATAAAAGATTATATGTGCGGGCAAGCCTACATACGTGTAGTCTACTTTTCTGAAAGGCAGAGTGGGAAAGGAAAAATCAGGAAGCAGAACTTTGTCCTTCCACCTTTCTCCCACCAGATTATTGGGTCATCTTGAGATGTTTCTGTGAAGAGCTAAATGTTAAGTTCTCGTGTCATGTACCCCCATTGCCACCTATGTCTCCTCATAATGCTATGCTTACTACTGTGCCACCAAATTTGTTCCTGTTGCTAATAACAGGCATTGATAATGCAGGAGTTGACAGAAATCCTGAGTGAGAAGTTGTAGTAGTTATCACAAACTGTTCCTAGGGCAAACAAGGCTCACTGAAGTTGGGAGCATGGATGGGTAATAAGCCTTTCAAAATGTTCATCAGTTACATTATGTAGGCCCAGCTTCTGGATCTGGAAGTCCAGTGTTAGACTGAGTCATGTTGATAAGACTAAAGAAGACAAAACAGTCCCAAATCCATAATTACAAAAGGAAAAAGTTCTTATCCAGCCCAAAGAACTTGTAACACAAGCAACTCCTTTACCTTCTCCTGCTGACTCTTTATTGAAAAACTGCATTTTTACCTACCTTCCTTTAGCTATGAGTTTTTCTGAACGGACTTTAAATTATAGCAGTTATATGTAAAGGTACGAACTTTGATTTTGGTATTAAAAAACCCAAACTAATAGAAACCAGAGACATATAGGGTCTTAACCTGGTTTAAAATATCTCCACAATGGAAACAAAACTATTTGTATCTGAGCCTGGTGTTGGCAAGCAGAACACTTTAAGTATAGATGTAGCACTACATTATAAACAGGTTATTTTCTGGAGGCAGTTTCCAATTCTAGACCTGTTTGAAAATATTCAGTCACAAAAGAAGTGTATACCATTTTATAGTTTACAGAGTACTCTCATATACTTTTTTTCATATCCATTGTGACTCCCAACTATTAGATTCAGTATGCATTATTATTAATACCATCCCCACTTTATAACTGAGGAAACTGATATTTGGAAATGTTAAATAACTTATCCAAGATCACATAGCAATAAAGAAGCAGAACTTGTATTTAAAGTAAACCATCCTGATTCCAAATCCTGGATTCTTTCCAATATAACTCTATATCTGTCCAGTGTTGTGACTGGATGCCATCTTGTTATCTGATGCATTCAACTGCATCTTACAATTGTAAAATCACAGACTATAAGCTGCCTTTAGCTTTAGTAAAATCACTGCAACATACCAGATATATAAGGGCTTTCATAAGTCCAGTGAAAGAGATTCCACAACCCTCCTTTATCACCCATTCTTGTATCTAACAAGTTTAACGATTAGAAAACTGTACTTTTCTCCAACACAAGTTCTCGTGCTTCACTATTTCTCCAGTTGCTTCTGTGTAATCTTCAGTTGCCCCCATATTCTGTGTATAACTGGTCATATACAATTAGTCCTTTCACTTTTAGAATCTTAGATTCCTGGGAAAGATGCTGTAAGTTAAAATGACTTAATTTCTATTAGGAATAATATCAAGGTTTGATTCTTAGCCCAAAGTATAATATTTAGTTTACTATAAATGATGTACTTGTACATTGTGTAATGCAAAACATTCTCAAATGTATATAAATTGATAGAATATGGTAAAACATTCAGGAACTATATAAAGGCTTTCTAGTCTTTCAAATCCCTGCTGTATTTTAGTACAGCAGCAGATTAGGTAAAGAAACACACTTATGAAGTCAAGAGATTTGAATAGACTTCTCTGATGAAATTTTTACAAATACAGCCTTTAATTCATGTATAAATGCATTAAAATGTGCAAATCAAAAGTGACAGATAGGGCCGGCCGAGTGGCTCAGTTGGTTAAGAGCTCACTCAAGAGTTTGAGTTCTGAGCAACAGCAGTTCGAGTCCCAGCCCAAGCTGAGCTGCCGCTGAGCTGCCAACAGGTGGCAGGATGGCTCAGCTAAAAAAATAAAACAGTGACAGATCAGTGTATTCTGAGGAGATTTTAACAGGCATCTTTTAAAAGAGTTTTGAGAGGAACCATTAAAGATGGCGGAGAAGATAAACACTGTGCTTGTCTCATCCCATGAACACATCAAAATTACAGAGCAATGAACCTGGAGAACCATCTGAAGTCTGGCTGAACAGAAAGAAGCTTTATAACTAAGGACATAAAGAAGCCATGATGAGATTGGTAGGAGGGGTGTAGACATGAAACAGCCTGACCCCTAACCTCCATGTAGCGGATGAAAATCAAGAGGGATATCTTGGCCACAGAGGTTCCCCCCAGAGGAGCAGGGACCCCAGGTCCACTCCAGGCTCCCCAGCCCAGAGTACTGATGCCAGGAAGAGAAGCCCCACAGCATCTGGCTGTGAAAAACAGTGGGGATTCCAACTGACTTACTGAGACTGAATGTGGCAGGAAACACAGACGTCCTCTTCAATGGCCTGCACACAGACTCCCCTGAAGATACGCACCTTGGGCTCCAGCGGAGGGCCAGTGACTCAGGGGGTGTCGGAGACAAACAGGGGGTAGGCTGAGGTGTGTTGCTTCAGGGCAAGGACTGGAGGACAGTTGGCATTTTCCGACCCCTGTGTGCTGTCCTCCTCTCGTGCAGCTGACAGGCAGGTGCCACCTTCCCTGTGTTGAGCCCGCCCCCTAGGCTTATGGCTAAATCTGAATCTGATTGGCCTGGTGAACTCCACTCACTCCGCCCTGCTGACTCCCTGGGACCCTGCCCCCCCCAACTCTGTACTGCACAAGACTTTATCAGTGGCTGCACCTTACAGTCGGCAGCAGGCCTCAGGGTCTCCTGACGTTTTGCAGAGCTACCCCAAGCCCTGCACTTGTGGTAAATGTCCTCGGTTCACAGCGTGGCCTCTCCCACATGCCTCCAGGTCCAGCACAGGCAGTGACCAACCATGGATCGCTTTGTAGCTCCTACCAGGTAGTCCCAGCCGGTCACAGGCGACCTGGGTCTGCACCAGAGCCCTTCCCAAGAGGCCACACAACCAACATACCTGGAGGCTGGCTTCAGACCACAGCAGAGCACCACCCAATTAGCCCCATAAGCAGCACACACAAAGGGCAGTCTCAACAGGCACCAGAGCCCACTGGGGTGACTAACACTCAGTGGGGTAAGCTCCCTGCACAGCAGCCTGTAAGCTGTGGACGTGACGATACCCCACAGCCAGTCACTCTGAGGGTCATCCCCACCCACAGCCATGCCAACAGCAATCAAGGCTCAACTATAACAGGAGGGCACACACAACCCACACAAGGGACACTCTCAGAGCACCAGATGAAGCAGAGTTTTGAATCAGCAATTTGGAAGACAAGACAGCAGAAAACACCCAATCAGAACAGCAAAAGGAAAAAAGAATTTTTAAAATGAGGGTACTTTAAGAGACCTCTGGAACAACACCAAGCATTACAACATTTGCATCATAGGGGTACCAGAAGGAGAAATGCAAAAGCAGGAGATTGAGAACCCATTTGAAGAAATAATGACTGAAAACTTTCTTAACCTGGCGAAGGAAATAGACATACAAATCCAGGAAATGCAGAGTCCCAAACAAGATGAACCCAAACAGGCCCACACCAAGACACATTATAATTAAAATGGTAAAGGTTAAAGACAAAGAGAGAATCCTAAAAGCAGCAAGAGAAAAGCAGTTAGTTACCTACAAGGGAGCTCCAATAAGACTGTCAGCTGATTTCTCAACAGATACTTTGCAGGACAGAAGGGAGTGGCAGGAAATATTCAACATGATGAAAAGTAAGGGCCTACAACCAAGACTACTCTACCCAGCAAGGCTATCATTTAAAATCAAAGGACAGATAAAGAGCTTCCCAGACAAGAAAAAGCTAAAGGAGCTTAGTTTATCACCACCAAACCAGTATTACAAGGAATGTTAGAGGGACTTCTTTAAGATGAAAAAAAAAGATAAAAAATATGAGTAATAAAATGGCAACAGTTACATATCTATCAACAATTACTTTCAATGTAAATGGATTAAAAGCTCCAATCAAAAGACATAGGGTGGCTGAATGGATACGAAAACAAGACCCTTATATATGCTGCCTCCAAGAG